ACGAGTTTATTAACTTTAAGAAATACTTCCAGGATGGGTGCAGTGGCTCATGCCTGTAATCCTAGCACTTTCGGAGGCTGAGGTGGGTGGATCATCTGAGCTTAGGAGTTCCAAGACCGGCCTAAGCAAGATGGAGACTGAATCTCTAAAAAATAGCTGGGCATTGTGGCAGGGCCTATAGTTTTAGCTACTTGGAAGGCTGAGGCAAGATGATCACTTGAGCCCAAGAGTTTGAGGTTGCTGTGAGCTATAATGCCATAGCACTCTATCAAAAGCAATAAAGTGACACTCTGTTTTAAAAAAAAAAAAGGCAAAAGAAAATTAAAATGAAATACAGCAGAACCTCCATACTTGACCATCTCTTCTTCTTTTTTTTTTTTTAAGACAGAATCTCACTCTGTTGCCCCAGACTAGATTGCCCTGGCATTAGCCTAGCCCACAAGTAACCTCAAACTCCTGGGTTCAAGAGGTCCCCCTGCCTCAGGCTCCCAAGTGGCTGGGACTATAGGTGCCTGCCACAATGTACCGCTAATTTTTCTATTTTCAGTAGAGACAGGGTCTTGCTCTTGCTCAGGCTGTTCCTGAAGTCCTGAGCTCAAGCAATCCTCCCACTTGTACCTGCCAGCTAGGATTATAGGCATGAGCCACCTTGCCTGACCAACCAACTCCATAAAGTGTTCTAATTTTTATAGATCAGACATGACCACATGTACTCAATGAAAGACTGATGGCTACATATTGAGCCCCTCTGTAAGTTGTATCTTGACTACTTGGACTGTGACACACAATTATTAATTTACTCTCTATAACTTGACCAGTTGAGTTCACTCTATATCAAGGGGTAGGTTTGGGCTTTGCCCCTTAGTTGTATTATTTCTTTTTTCATGTTTTATTATTGAGTTAGGCTTAACATCCTGTTTATTGTGTGTTGCGAAAATTTTTTTTCAACAGGAATGACTACAATTACCAAAAAATTTTACAGTTAATTGAGTTGTGCTACCCCAAAGGAAAGAACTCAGAAAGCTGACACTGAAGGAAAAGGTTAATCTTCTACATTTTCTGGAAAGTAGCAGCCAAACACAGGTGGAACATTTTGGTGTTAGCAAGACCTCTGTTAGCAATATCCGAAAATGTAAACATGAGTACTTAAGAAATATGGGTCAGGAAAGTAGAGACCTACATACAGTAGCAAAGGAGGAAAATTTCCCTTAATGAAGTCAGTGAAGCCATGTTAGGCTGGTTCAAACAAATAAGGGCAGTTAACACCCACATCTCCAGGCTGATGATCCAAGAAGTTGCTATAAAACTCACACAGAAATTCAGGTGGCAGATTTCCAAGCATCAAGTTATTGGGGTGAGAAATTTAAACTGTGACACGAGATCTCCCAGAAAGTCTTGTGTGGTGAATCCAATGAAGTTCTGGTAGACGTTGTGGAAGGGTTCATCAAAAAGTTCCTGGACTTTGCCAGAGGCTTCAAAGATAATAACATCTCCGAGGAGTGCAGACTCACAGGAGTGATGCCTGACAGAAGCATCATCATGAAGGGTAACAAATGTTAAGAGCAGGAAACTTTTCAAAGAATGTTTCATAGTTCTGCTTTGCACTAGCTCACCTGGAGAGAAACTGAAGCCCTTGATGACTGGTAAATCAGCAAACCCATATGCATTCAAGAATTTGAAGTTGCAAGACCTCCCTATCACCTGCAGATCAGACAAATGAGTATAGATGACTGGTACCCTATTTGAGGAGTGGGTAATGGGTATTGACTGATAAATGAAGAAGAAATGGTCTGGGGCCAGACTCAGTGGTTCATATCTGTAATCCTAGTGTTGTGGGAGGCTAAAGTGGGTGGACTGCCTGAGCTCACAGGTTCGAGTCCAGCCTGAGCCAGAGCAAGACCCCATCTCTAAAAATAGCCAGGCTTTGTGGCAGGCGCCTATAGTCCCAGCTACTTGGGAGGCTGAGGCAAGAGAGGCTGAGGCAAGAGAATTGCTTGAGCCCAAGAATTTGAGGTTGCTTGTGAGCTATGACACCATGGCACTCTACCAAGGGCGACAAAGTAACTGCCTTAAGAAAAAAAAAGAAACAGTTTATTGTACTGACAGTAGACAATTGGTCTGGCCACCTGCAAGTGAATCATCTCATAAACATGACAATAAAATTTCTGCGTCCATACACAGCTTAAAAATCCAACCTCTTGACCAAGGCATCATCAAAACATTGAAAATTCACTACAAGCTCGGCTCCTATAGTCATTACTAAAACACAGACTTGTAGTCCACCTTTGGAAGCAAGTTCATCTGCTGCATCGTTAATGCCCTGGATACTGTCCTCTGGATCAGTTCTGCTCAGAATAAAGTTCAGCCAGAAAGGACACAAGAATGTTTTAAGAAAGTTGGATTGGTCCCAGTCCAAGAGCACAGTGTTTTGGCCCCTGACAGCCAGTCTACATCTCTCCTGGAAGAATTCAAAGGAGTCAATGTTGAAGATTTTATTGCAATGGATGATGAGGTGCCAAACTGCAATGAAACTGACCCAGAATTAGTTTTCCAAGTGATACTGACCGAAGTACAGACATCATAAAAGTGTATGAAGCAGCTGATAAAGTGGAAGAAGCAAGTGAGGATGACAAAGAAATTGCAGAGACTCCAAAAGAAGATATCAAGCATATGATAATGTAGTTGAAGTCATCTGCTGTGGAAAAATGCCAACATATGCTGAGTGGGATAGCTAGCATTGAGAGTGCTTTATTCACTTATGTTTGTAATAAGCTTAAGAAACAGGGCTTGGTCCCTATAGCTCAAACAGCTAAGGCGCCAGCCACATACACTGGAGCTGGCAGGTTCAAATATAGCCCGGGCCTGCCAAACAACGACAACTAAAACCAAAAAATAGCCGGGCATTATGGCAGGTGCCTGTAATCCCAGCTACTTGGGAGGTTGAGGCAAGAGAATCGCTTAAGCCCAAGTTTGTTGTGAGCTGTGATGCCATAGGCACTCTACGCGAGGCAATAGCTTGAGACTTTGTCTAAAAAAAAAAAGGGTAAGAAACAGACTAAGATTGATCTTTTTTCAGAAAGAATGACTAAATAATGAGAAAACAATAAATGTACTGGTACAGTATGTAGGATTTCACTGTGTCTTTGATTTGCATGATTTTGTATCATATTCTCTAATAAAAGTTGTACAGGAAAGTAAAGTACATTTGTGTATCAGTACAGGGTCCTAGTTCCTTATATTGACCACCTCTACAGTTATTGACTAGTTTGCTACAATCTGCTGGATGGTCAACTAATAGCTCTGCCACAGTCCAGCCCTTCCAAAAGAAGCAGCACTTGGTAGGGTCTTAATTAAGGTTGGCAGAAAACACCAACCCACTATCCTCCCTCTGTGATAATTGTAGGCACTCCACACACAGACAGTTAAAAAGTATTAGTCCCTAAAGGAGAAGAAGACAACTAATGGGCTCACAACTCAGGGAGATGAGTGCAGTGCCCTAGAACACCAGGTCTCTCATAAAACTAGGGTGATGCCCAAGCCAGAGAGCTCACAGATGAGTAAAGCAGCTTCCATTACAGAAAGCACTGGAGCAACTGGTTTTCCTCTTCCTATTAAACTCAACTACCTCAAGTTGAGAGAGAGAGAGAGAGGAATGAATGAATGAATGAGAGAGAAAAAACAAACAAGAGATAAGAGCTTAGAATAAAAATTTTTATTTATTAGAGCATTAAGATGTAAAAAGTCTTTCCTCAAATATGGGGAATTTACTGTCTTGCCAATTTAATTCTCTTATATCCTATGCAACTGACATGACTCCAAGAAAATCCTTCGTAATGACCATCCAATCAACCAACAAATCAATCCATCATTATACTAGTACTACCAGATGAAGTCCCTCTGACTGGACCATATGAAGAAGCAGATTCACATAACCAAGTTTCTTAAACTGTCTCTTGATCCAGACCATATAAAAACTATTGGCCAGAAAAATATTATTCTTCCAACAGAGCCACTCACCCCTCAAATAAACATCAACTTTATTTTTTAAATTGAGGGTGAATGCCAACATTAAGCAAGGACAGACTTAACACTTATGCAGGATGCTGGACTTAATGCATAGCATTACTCATCACAGAAGAATGCACAGGAATGTTCACAGGACTCCCCTTGTGAACTTCCTACAACATGAGCTATCAGCATCAGGGCTTTATTCATCCAACCAAAACCAGTAATGAGGAACCATCATCACCTTAGCAGAGTGTGGAGGATGCTATTTAATGAACTAGCATAGAGAGAAATGATCAAGAAATCAATCACCTTAAAAAAGTGTCTCACAACAATCAAAATATTTAAAATCATGGCTTACTCAACAAACAATTCTCTCACTTATTTCCCACATTTGAAAAGTCAAAATATCACTTGAGCCACTCTTGGTTGTTTGTGGGTGAGGAAGTCAACGGGCCAAAATAAAATGAAAAGACATCAACAAGAAGACATGCAAACAGGGTAAATAAAAATGAGTGCCCAACAACATTTTGGATGACTAATTGAGCTTGTCTTTTTCCTCAGAAATACAAACGAAAATACCTGCCCCAAACCAAAAAACAAAAGTAGAAACAAATCCCAAATGTGTGTCGTCGTTGCTCTAAGCTTAGTATACATATGCACTGGAAGCATGGCTGATGATATTTTGACATTCTTTTTTTTGTTTGTTTTTAAATGCTAAAGGTAAAGAACTTTACTCTTCAATAGAAGAGTAGAGATAGGAGTAAATTATACATGTGGATAAAGTGACATCCACAGGATATGAACATAGGGGCAAGGGGGAGGGGAGAAGGGGTAGGCTTTTGTGTTGCTTTGCTGTTGGCAGGAAAGCTAAGCAGTCTTAAAGAACCTCCTCCGGGGAGTGGCAGTCTAGGATTCTAGGTTTGCCATGAAGGGGTATCACAATTCCCAAGGCCCACCATCTACCCCTTCTCCTCTTCTCCGAGGGCACCTACCTTACTGTAAGTCACTACTGATAAGTTGTTTGCGTGACTGCTGGGGGACAGATTTACAGAGTTCTGTGAGAGTCTATTCTGATCTTGCTCGGTTTGGTCAGGAGCAGGAGCCCATGTGTTTTTGCTGATCGAGTCGAACTCGGAACCCCCAGGGTCTTTTAAGTTGTTTTCATCTGATTGTCGGTTCTTTTGGGGAGAGGCAAACGGGTTGAAGTTTCCTTCTACCTTGCGATGAGGCTGTGTGTTGAACTCCGTTTCAAAAGACGACAGCTGCTGCGTTACTCCTAAAAGTCCACCCACCTCCACACTGAGGATCACCCAGATGACATCTGAAACAAAAAGACAACTCATGTCAATGCCAACATCTCCTTAAGGGCCAAGGTAGCCACCATCAAAAGCCCTAAACATCATCCAAACCATAGAAAGAAATGTTCTTCTATGTGCTAGTTTTAAAAGCTTGCTGACAAAAGTCTAGTACATTTGTATTTGTATTGTACGCACTTCTACATCTTTGGTATTTTCAAGTTCAAACTCTAATGTAAATTCAGCAGAAGTCTATAGTGAAATCCATGAAACCTATTTCTAAAAGGCTTATCAGCTGATTCTGATTCACAGCCACATTTAGAAATCATTATGCAAGAGAACAATGACCAATGGATAGAAATCTAAAAGCTACTGGATGCTAGAATTCACAGCTTTCTGGTTTTTGCTTTATTTTGCATGCATCTAACTCAGAAAATTCAGGACATGCATAATTCTTTGCTCAAAAAATGCTTATAATTACTAGAACTGCAACTTATCAACCCCTCCCCAATTCGGGAGTAATTTAAAGTGATGATATATTATCCAAACTAGGACAAATGAGAATGAAAAAGGGAGTTATTAAAAATTACACCAGGATAGGCTCAGCACCTGTAGCACAGTGGTTACAACACCGGCCACATACACTGAGGCTGGTGGGTTCGAACCTGGCCTGGGCCAGCTAAACAACAATGACAACTGCAATAAAAAATAGCCAGGTGTTGTGGTGGACACCTGTAGTCCCAGCTACCTGGGAGGCTGAGGCAATAGAATCACTTAAGCCCAAGAGTTTAAGGTTGCCATGACCTGTGTGACACCATAGCACTTTACCAAGGGTGACATAGTGAGGCTCTATCTCCAAAAAAAAAAAAAAAAAAAATTACAGTAATAAAGGTGTAAACTGGCTCTAATCCTGACCAACTGGGAGATATCACCCCAGCTATCTTCTCAATCTATACATATAATCAAAGGCAGTAAGAATTTGAAATGACTCAGACTTCCTAAAATAACTAATTTAACACCAACTCTGCCTTTTTGTAATACAGTCATGTACTGCTTAATGACACAGCTATGTTTTGAGAAATGCACCTCTAGGCAATTTCATAATTATCTGAGTATCATAGAGTAAGCAGTGGAGTCTACACTCCTACTAGAAGGTTTCAAAAAGCAAACTACATAAAGGCTAGGGAGGTTTTAAGTGTGTGGACCCTGCTAGAAATAAAACAAATGTCCTAAATTACTGTTGAAAGGCTGATAGGAAAAGGGAAATACATTTCATCAATTAGCCACCTGGAAATATAGGTAACATATAAGCCTAGAATAAATAAACTTAAAAGGACAGTGAAGGAAACTGAGGAAAACCCTCTTAAGCTATGTTTATTCTCAAGTTTTAATTTGGGCTCTGTATCAAAAGGAGGAGCTCTAAGAGCACCACATAGCCATAAAAACTCAATTTACGCTTAGTGGTTTGGGACTTCTATGAACTGGTTGTAGCCAAACAATTAAGAGCCAGATCCTAATAAGTGGAGAGGTAGTGACATCTGCTGTTCACTTATGGAATTAAAGCTACAGCCACTCAATAGCAACACTAGCATGACTCATAGGAATGGGAATCCATTCCAGACACCTTTATCATTAAAGAAAATATAAATCCTCATGTAACCTAGCACCATAAAAGTTAAACCTCTCGGCTCGGCACCTATAGCTCAACCGGCTAGGGCGCCAGCCACGTACACCTAAGGTGGCGGGTTCGAATCCCCAGCCCGGACCTGCCAAACAACAATGACGGCTGCAACCAAAAAATAGCCGGGCGTTGTGGCGGGCGCCTGTGGTCCCAGCTACTTGGGAGGCGGAGGCAGGAGACTCGCTTGAGCCCAGGAGTTGGAGGTTGCTGTGAGCTGTAATGCCACGGCGCTCTACCCAGGGAGACAGCTTGAGGCTCTGTCTCAAAAAAAAAAAAAAAAAAAAGTTAAACCTCTTGATTTAACAATGTACATGCAATGTGCCATTTCACTTAGAAATCTAGGACAGTGCCAGGATGGTGGGTCAGAGGAATTACTTCAAGGCTTTAAGTGTACCTCATACACCAATATAACGTAAGCCTTAAATAACAATCCAGTTAGGATCAGTGGCTCATGCCGGTAATCCTAGCATTTTGGGGTTTGTTAAGCAGGCCCCAGCTGTGTTCGAACCTGCCAGCCCTGCTGCACTGGGCTGGCGCTCTAACCATTGAGCAACAGGCGCCCAGAATCCTAGCACTTTGGGAGGCCAAGCCAGGAAGATCGCTTGAGGACAGGAGTTGGATACCAGTCTGAGCAACATAGCAGGCCTGTCTCTTTAAAAAATAGAAAAATCAGCTTGGCATGGTGGCAGGCGCCTATAGTCCCAGCTAGTGGAAGGCTGAGGCAGGAGGACCACTTGAGCCCAGCCCAGGGTTAGAAGCTATGATGATGCCACTGCACAAAACAAAACAAAAAAAGTTCATTTGTAAGCACATGATACGTTTAGCATTCTCAACTACAAGTTGTGTTTTACTCTCTTAGCTTAAGAAACTGAATCTTTGAGAAAGTCAGTCATATGAAAGCTATCAGTAAAGAAGACTACTGACATTTCCCCCTCACCCCCTTTGGGAACTAAAGTGTCTTTAATATAACTCACTGGGTCTAAGACTTAAGCTATTTCACTCACTTTGGTTTGACTATTGCTCTAAACTGTTCACAGAATTTTACATAGTAGCTGTAAAACATTGGTCATTTAAGAAGCCACTAATTTATAAATATCAATAATAACTACCAGTTCTGACCTTCCTAAAGTTATTACCATGATGGGTCATCATGAACGTGCCTTCTACAGTACAATCTCAGCCACGTAATTACCACCTCTAGACATCATATTCCAGAATGTGTTTAATCCCTGCACAATACTGTGTATTTTATTTATTTAGAGACAGAGTCTCACTATGTTGCCCTTGGCATCTCAGCTCACAGTAACCTCAAACTCTTGGGCTTAAGCTATTCTCTTGCCTCAGCCTCCCAAGTAGCTGGGACTACAGGCGCCCAACACAATGCCCAGCTATTTATTTTTGTTGTTGTTGTGATTGTTGTTTAGCAGGCCCAGGTGAGGTTCAAACCTGCCAGCCCCGGTGTATGTGGCTGATGCCCTAACCACTGAGCTATGAGCTATGAGAGCCAAGCTATTGTACATTATTTTTAATAAAAAAAAAAAGTAAAGATGGCCTAATATGCTTGTTTCATAGAGGCTGACCATTTCCAATTCTTGCCAATAATTAATGCCTTAATTACTGAGATGTGAACTAACTGCTACCCAGATATCTTACTATCTCTGATAATAAAACTGTAACTGGAAGGGACCATCCAACGAAACTGCTTTACTTTCTGGATTTAAAAAAAAAAAAGCTGAGGCTGGGCTGGTGGCTCACACTTGTAGTCCCAACACTTTGGGAGGCTGAGACAGGGGCATCGCTTGAGGCCAGGAGTTTGAGAACAGCCTGGGCAACATAGCAAGACCTCGTCTCAACAATAATAAAGGAAGCAATCAGATATGGGGACATGTGCCTATAGTCCAAGCTACTTGGGAGGCTGAGGCAAGACAATCACTTGAGCCCAGGAGTTTGAGGTTGCTGTGAGCTGTGACACTATGGCACTCTACCAAGGGTGACATAGTGAGATTCTGTCTCAAAAAAAAAAAAAAGAATAAAATAAAAATAAAAACTAGAATGAAATAAGCCCTGGGGTACCAAATTAAAGTCAGAAATATCATATAAATTCATGGTTAGTTTAAAACATATTATTATGAAGAAATCAGAAACAATTACAGATATTTCTATATTCAAAAGTTAGTATGCATACATCTAGTACCTAGCTCTGTTTGCTGAGAGGGCCTTGAAGTAATGACATCCCAGGAACAATGAATATAACCAGTGCCCACCCAGATCTTGGTTTCTAAATACCATTCTCTAATAAAAAAAAAAAAAAAAAAAAAAAAAAAGAAGGCTCTTTGGATAAATGGCTGACTCTAAAGCCAGGAAATGTAAAATAGAAGATGAACCTGGAGCATCCTGTAGTATGAGAAAGGAAATGATCAAAAAAAAAAAAAAAAAAGGGATAACAGCATATAGCACAGGGACATAGGAACCAATCTGGAAGAAATTCTTCCCTCCAACGCCGGAACAATTTGAGTAACAAAAATGAATAACATAGTATTAGATCATAACCCAAAGGATAAAATAAATATAATTCCATAGTGAAATACACAGATGGCTAAATAAATGGGGGAGAACAGATAAACGTCCTTACAGAGAAATTCCAAACAATATATACAGACACTCTGCCTTCCACAAGGTAGAGCTTAATTCTATACCTCTTTCATATCCTCCTCGAGGATGGGCTTGACTTAGTGATTTGCTTCCAAAGAATAAAGAAGGGAAAGGGAAAAACAGTAACCTTACAAACCTGGCAAACACACTACTGACCAAGTCATTTATTATGGTTAGTATCACCAGTGATGTTAAGCAAACACCAGGTACCAGCCAGGGAGTGTTACCTCTGTGGTACCCTTCCCAAATCCTATTACATCAGTCTAATTATGAAGAAAACATCAGACAATCTCAGATTAGGGGACATTGTACAGGATACTTGCTAGTATTCCCCCAAACCATCAAGGGTCTTAAACAATGAAAAGAGTGAGATTGTTATAAGCCAGAGGAGAATGGGAAACATGACAACTAAGTATAAAGTGGTAGCCTAGATTGGATTCTGGAACAGAAAGAGGTCATTAGCAGAAAAACTGGTGAAATCCAAATAAAATCTGGAATTAATAGTAATATACCAATGTTGATGTCTTTGTTTTAACAAGTACACCATGGTGATACAAGATGTTAACAACAGAAGAAACTGGGTATATATATGAGAACTCTGTATAATCTTTGCAATTTTTCTGTAAATGTAAAATGATTCCAAAACATAAAGTCTACTAAAATAAATTAGAAAATCATTCTTCAGAAATTAAG